GCTTCTCTTTATTCCGGTTTACTTTTTCAGTATTAGATTGAATTATCATTAAAAGCACACGATTCTACGTTCGAAGCAGTGTGAACTATTGATCATTGCGTAAAGGCTGATAATTGTATCTATTGCACAATGAATTCAGTAATCGCTTCGGAATTTCTAGTCTACAGATTAAGAAGGGCGTCGTATTCGGCCAACCACAGAGGCCGATGCCGAAAAATGATCACTGGTCTTGCGCTCCGTTCTCTTGCACAGGAGCCGTCAACGAAGCCTGACAGGGAGGACGTTAATCTGAAAACCTGCTGGGCAAAGCTGACTCAATCTCCAGTTTGACACGGATCATTCAGGTGAATAATCACACGTATGGGATAATATTAAGATCTACTAGTTTCTTAAATTGGCACGGTGGCCTCCCAGTTAGTGAGGATAATGAAGGTGAAGCAGAGCTTTTATGTGGATATTATGTCGCTTTATTCAGTTGTGGTCCCTATGTCTTTTACACATGGTGACGGTGGGCGGGTGCGCGTTTAGTCTTAGTCTACCAAAGTAACACCTAGGTAAAGTAATATGGATGCATTTATATTTACTTTATTTCTTAACTTGCCTTAGTCCATGCAGTCATGCGTCATTTTATACATATATACACGTTTAAGTGTATATGCATATAACGCATTCATGTTTGTTTGTATGTGAGCTCGTGAGTACATGTTTTTTTCCGTTTTGCAAGACCGAATCTTTAGCAGGATATAATTTCGTTTATAGTTGTTCTATGATTTATTTTAGATTGATGCTGTTTTATATAAGGTTTACAGATTATGATAGTAATAATACTTTTAGTATGAAGGTTCACACATGCAGAATCAGCAGCAATTCATAGTTTGACTGCCTTTCTTTAGCATGAAGCATTTGGCGCTGTATCCTGATATACTTTTTATCGTCACATTCATTACGTCCAGCGTCTAGTCTGGTATTATATCCTAGTTATTTGGGGAATTTTTTCTCTTGCCCATCATATTGTTATAAATTTCATAAATAAATGTGTATTTGAACAGCTTCGCATGTGCTGATTATTATTATTTAATATTGCACGATCTTAGAAATAGAATGTATATCTGTACTCGTTTCACTTATACACAGTGCGATTGTTGTGATTCTTCAAAACTACGTATTCAACAATAACCTTATATGAACTTGTATATGAAAAAAAAATAAGATTTATGTCTTTATTTTCACCCGCATTTGTTTTCATCACCATTATAATTTTTCAAATAAGGAATGAGATTTTACATCTTTCATCTGCCATATGAACTAGCACAAATCGAACTTTTAATTGATTAATGGAATCCTTATTAAAATTAGGATTCACGGAAATACGTAAAGAGGCTCCTACCTACCAATGATACAGTCAAAATAATTACAATTATAATGGCAATGATGATAGTCACTGAACTGTAAAATGTGCCTCTGAAATAGATGATCAGGCTAATAGTGATTTTAATATTAGGTAATTCATAATGCTTGATGCCGTGTTGATCATAATTGTAGTGTATTAACAAATCTGATACTGACAGAAATGATATCAATAATAACAGTCAATGACAACACAAAAAAGCCTTATATAAGAAATAACTGAAAATTGACAATAATAAATAACGTTTACGTATAATGATGGTCATGATAATACAACTTTCCTCTTGTCATCGCTGTTAGTGAGCGAATATTATGATATAAAGTGCTATGTTATATACTGAATGAAAATATTAAAACAATTCACATTTCTCAGCGCAATGGGTTGAAGGGGAAAATAGACACCTTCTGAATTCTACTCCTTCATATTGCCATTTTTATTACTGTCTTCTTTTATCATTTTATATTTTTACCATCTTTGCATTACCTTGTACTTCAGCATCATCCTTTTTATTACCTTCTTCCTATTATCTTCCAACCCCATCTTTTCCATGACTTTCTTCTTCAACATTACTTTCTAGTTTGCTATCTACTGATTTCATATTTTCTTACCATGGATAAGTTTTGCCATTACGAATAATCATTATAAAAAAAATAAACCAAAACTACCACTGAACAGTTACTTTGAAAGCCCAAGGACGAGTGTATCCTTCACTGGAGGAATATGTGAGGGGGTTACATATAATAATTTCAGTTTAAGTACGTGAATGAAAATTGAAAAGCTCTGGCAGAAGACAAGTCAAATATATCCGTAACTGTCTTTTTCCTCCTGCGTAATTATGTTACCAATCAAATTATTGGCCCCATTTTCCCGATTTTGAAAAGCTGAGGCTCTTCCTTCCTATTGTGACAAATAACTGAGATAGTTATGAGAGCATCTCATTTCAGTTAAAGGTTTTTTCTTTGTCGATCCTAATTTTTTAGGCATGGTTGTGCCACAGACCAGTTAGAATTGAATACATTTTTAAACACAATTACTGAACACCATGTTTTATTTAGTCCATGATTTACTATTTTTTAACAACAAAATCTGAAAGAAATTCTGCCGTGGATTAGTGACAGACTGAAATCACTGGATAAATAGGAGTTCTCAGTTCGAAAATATTATAGTTAACCCTAATAAATTAGAAACTAGCAAGATGATAACAAAGAAAACTAAACTGTAACTATGGTTAACTATCTCTTTAACTTTACAATCAGATAATTTCAATATGCAAAATGTAATGAAATACAGATAAAGGAATCATCTCATTGGAGTATTGTAATACTCCAATGAGATGATTCCTTTATCTGTATTTCATTACATTTTGCATATTGAAATTATCTGATTGTAAAGTTTGGCTTTTGTTAACACTTTTGACATTTCTGTGAGACAGGTTCGACTGTATTTGATAATGACAGACCATATGTGAACATGGTCTGTCTAAACTGATGTCCTGATACATCTCTGCGGCACAATATTATTCTAGCTTACACTAACAAGGCTATCTGTGTACTTACGGTTAATGTACGGGTTAACAAACGAGGAATCATATAACGGAATGACATGAATCCTGTATCGATGATCGGATTTCACCAAACTGATAAATACTTCTCGCCAAATATTCTGTTTACGGCTGCGTTTTATTTATGGACTTGGAAACATAACTTACAAGAGAGGCCCATCTGCAAGGGCGTGATCGCACACGCAGGTAGCATCAATGCTTATCGTGTGCTTGCATCTTGCATCGGGAACTGTCCCGTGATTTTTCTCTCTCTACTTACTTGTGCTCCTTATGATACAAGAGCGCAAACTTCAATTTGTTCAAGTATTTTGAAAAAAAAAGAATGTTTGCAAGCACAAAGGGATATGATATTACCAAACAAATTTCAAAAGTACATACACATACTATATATTTTCACTTTTTGGAAAATAAGCAGGATTTGGGCAATAATGGCTCTCCTAGTACCGCAGACAGTTTGCCGAAACCTGATCAGTAGTCTTATTATCCTTTGTAATAATGTTTAGAATCTCAACATAATTGGATTTTTACTATTATCAAAATGAAAATTATACAAAATAAAAATACACTTTTGTTTGCAATATTCAAACCAAAGTACACTGAAATTTGCCTTCGAGTGATCCTGTCACGGTTTTTGTATATGGAACGGGAAAATGCCCTCAAAATAGTTTGATAAAGAACTGTGGTGGTGACAGAATTCGCGGATAACGATTTATTGCATTTTGCATGTTATTAAGTATTCTGCTGTTTTTAGCGTTTGGTATTGTATTTCAGTTTACTTACAAGAATATTCTAGTTGTTCACTTATATTATATTTTCAAAATGATCTTGAAATATCATCCATTACCAGATGAGTGTACATACACAATAAAAAATATATATACTACCACCATCACTAGATAATGAATCTATTCAGTTTGTTAACCATATCTGTGGTTATAGATAATTATTTAATTTGAGTGTATAATCATTTTCTCAGGGTCAGTCCAAACTCATTTTCTTTGGATACTATCTGATGACGACCTCTTTAAGGTCTATAAAGTTTGTTTCTTCTTATCAGCTTAACATGAGCATAATGATGAACTGAGAAGACATTCATTGGGCGGTAGGGATAGACACCCTAGCCAAACACTCCTTCAGCCAGAAACATAGAAGCAGGACAGTAACGTATGCCTTGTATTGTTTTAGAGTTCAGGGGCTGGTTGCTTATGTGTAGCAGCATTTCTGCCGTTTTCTAATTATTAGATGATACAGAAAACGGACATAAATTGAATCATACACTATCATAAATGTATGAATATTAGAATACAGTTATTGTGTCAAGGGTCAAGGACTGGTGATTATAGAATTCCCTGCGTTACTTTCTTGTTTATTGAACAGGGCCCTAGGGAAGACTAGAAAAATTATCTTGATTTTATTTTACCTATATACTACCTTAAAAGTACAGTATATATGCCATTTTATCTGATGTGCTACAAAATAAGTTGTTGCGTGCTTAGAAAAGCACTCATACTCACACACACACTCACACTCACACTCACTCTCACTCTCATTCACACACCGTGCGCGCACAT